ATCAAACAAACATGAAATTAAAGAAAGCAATAAGATGAGATAGAGTAAGAAATGCTCATTGATACTTGAGAAGATCTTCAATGTAATTGTCACCCTTGCATCTTCAATCTCTCAAATCACCATTGAAATCCCTCACTTTCTCTATCTAAAATTACTCCTAAAACTAATCCTAATCTAGAGAGAGAAACTTTCAACTTAAGCTAAAAAATAAATTCAAAAAATTGCATAAATTGCTTGCTTGATGAAGAAATAAGGAGAAAAGCTATTTATAGTATAACTAACTAGAAGGAAATAAGGTAAAAATCCAAAACAGACCCAGCTGGACGCGCCCTCTCATGAGGTTACACGCCTGCTAAAATCTTGGTATGGAACAGAGACCTCAGGATGCAAGGCCGCACAGCCATGGTACGCGCCCGTGCAAAGGTCGCGCAACCCCCACAAACATCCTGCTAAATTTCTTTTTTTCTACAACATTGTAACTTGTCATGGCATGACGGCCTTATCGTGGCATGGTGCTTCCTATTTTGTGCAACCGCGCTACCTGGAGCAGGGCACTCCTTCAGTGCGTGCATGATGTAGATGGTGCGCTCCTTAGCTTATGATCGTCACTAGGCATGGCAGTCTCAAAATGAGGTTCACAATGGGTTCAACACCCAGTTTTGATGAGACCACAGCATGAGAGCGCAAACACTAAGTCTTGGAGCTAGCCATCCCTTGCCTTGTGAGCTACACATAAGCTTCCACCATTCACCTTAAGCCTCTTCCAACCCGATAAATCATCGTGACGGGTTTCAAGATTCACCTTACTCCTACAAACAAAGAGAAAAAAAATAAATAAAAGGGAAAAAACGAGAAAATCCACAAAAGTGGACGAAAACACAAAATAAGCAAGAATAAGGAAACTAAAGAACAAATGGACAAAACCACGCATTTATTAGGAAATAAAGCTATAAAAGAAGGTAAAAAAACCTAAAAATACTACCATATGAGTTCCATAAATGACACTCATCATGTCCATTTACTTTTGAGTGGATGCTTAAACTACCACCCCTCCATGCAGCTCTTACAATACTGCAATCCCTAAACACATGGTTAAATTCTTCTAACTGCGTACAACGATCAAATGACACTTCTTGTATTGGAACCCCCCTGCGATGAAGTTCACCTTTGACCGCTAAATCGTTATGGAATAACTTCCATAAAAATAGTTTCCACTTTGGCTGTAAATGAAGAAACCAAAGGATTTTCCAAAAAGGACTAAAATTTTGAGGAGTAAGCGGTTGTATGAGCATTGCTTAACCCATATTGACCGTATAATTCTCCAAAGTAGTATGCACCCAAAACCGAAAGTCCTCCTCATGTATAGCAAGAGATTCCATAGCAAGGATTGTAGAAGCGTCTGCGGATTGAAAACACTATTGTACTTTGTCAACATCCCAGGTGATGAGAGTTTGCGGATGAATAAAGAAATTTACAGTCAAATTCCTCGCAGTGCCTAGGAGGATTTCTAGTTTAATACAAGAGTAGTACCGTTGACCAGATTAGAGTTCCCTGCAAGTATGGATTTTTCGTTGCCAACTTTTAAGCTGCACCCCTGTTGACAGAAGTTCATCTGCGCAAGCAATTTGCGAAGGCCATAGGAGTTTCAACCCGAGTAGCATCGAGCATGATGTGGAGTAGGAGATAAGAATTGAGCACGAGCAGTAAAGATTTTGGAAATAAGTTGTTGTGGGTGGTTAACAGTTCTCCACACTTGCTTCATAAGAAGATCTTTATTTAGACGAGATACACCGAATTCCTAATTCGCCCATACCCCGAGGTAGATGCATTTTCCCTTTACCAACCCAATTTATACCGTGACTTCCCGAATGTGACCAAAAAAATTTCAATAATAAGGCATCAATTTTTCCTACAATTAAGACTGGGATTTCAAAGCAAGAAAGAAGATGAGAAGCCATAGCTACCAGAATTGAGTTGATGAAAATTAACTTTTGTGATTGAGAAAGCCAGACAGCATTAAGCGTCATTATGCGACTAGCAATTTTGTCTACGAGAAACTAGAAGCAGTCTTTTTTCATCCCCATAAAATGAATAGGGGACCCAAGATAATGGTCAAACACTTGAACGTGTTTCATTCGAAAAATCGCCTTAAATTCGTCTTGTGCAAGTGTTGTAGTGTTCGAACAGAATTTAATCAGAGACTTGGTGAGACTCAACTCTTCCCCAAAAATTTTGGTAAAGCGTTGAACTATCGCGACGATATTAGTGCAAGAAACGGCAGCAGCTATGAAGAAAACATAGCATCGTCGGCGAAGAAAAGATGGGCCGGGAAATAACAGACTAGCCCCAGAAATTTTTAATTCCCTTAAACATGTGTAAATCTTGTCCCAAGTGTATCATTCTGGAAAAAATATCCATACAGAAGAGGAAGAGGTAGGGGGATAAAGGGTCCCCTTGACGAAGACCACAATTAGGCCTAAAAGCCTCTAAAGTATTGCCGTTGATGAGAGATTTATAGGAGATTGTAGAAATGCATTGGTGAATCATCTGAAGTCATCGAGCTAAGAAACCATAAGCTTTAAGAACTCGTAAAAGGAAACTCCAATGAACTTTGTCGTAAACCTTACTCATATCGATTTTGAGCGCAGTAAGCCAGTTAGTACCAGTCTTGGAAGAGTTAATTTTTTCCATTAATTCACAGGACGTTAGAATATTATCTTAGATAACTCTCCCTTAGCAAAGGCATGTTGAGAATCAAAGATGAGAAAAGGCAAGTACGGATGGATCCGGGCAACAAAACATTTGGAAGCACATTTAAAGATCGTATTACAAAGGCTAATAGGATGAAGGTGGGTCACCTCTGTTGGTGAGGCAATCTTTAGGATCATGAAAAGGAGGGATTGATTCCATTCTTTTAGGAGGAACCCAGTATGAAAGAGTTCTGAACAGCTGCGACCACTGAATCACCAACCGTATGCCAATGAATTCTAGCTAAAAATTTTGACGTTACACCATCCAGACCTATGGATTTACAGTTCCCTAGATCAAATATTGCATCCTGTATTTTAGTTGCATATAACGGTCGTTCCTAATTACTAATCTGAGAAGAAGTAAATGAAGGAAGATGCAGCTCTTGAAGGACAGTAATACTTCATAAATTGGGACCGCATCACATTTGAAAGTTTCCTTCAGGGAACGAACAACGATGTTTTGTACCTCATGTTGACTATTCTGTAAAAGTCCTTAATCATCCATCTGGGTAGAAATATTATTCTTCTTTTGACGACACTTAACTTTCAAAAAAAGGAGTTTAGAAGAGGAATCTCCCTTAGAATCTAGTTCTTTTTACATCGTTGTCTCCAGAATTGGAGTTGTAACAATATATTTTCCTTTGACTTATATTGGACAAATAATTAGAAGCATCTGAGATAGATTGTATTGCCTCCCCCTCTGCAGAAAGGTCATTATTAAATTCTTCCAGTCTACACCCCAGAATTTCTTATTATTAAGGCACCAGTTCCTAACTAGAATATATTACGTGGTAATTAGTTTATAATAATAAATCATATGTACTACACATATGTTTAATTCTTCCATTTTTATTGTTGAGTTAATGATTCAAGTGATAATTTAAATTATTTAACAATAATAAACCATAAATAATGTATTGTACTTTTCTCCCCCTTGGTTTATAATTATAAGTAAATATATAATTAGGCAAAAATGAGTTATGTTAGTCGCAAAACAGCAAAATGACAACAACAGTAACAACAATAATAACAATAATTATAATAATGATAGTAATGTTATACAATAACAACATAATAAAACAAAAACAAGTTTTTAATCTACTTACAAAAGCGGCAAAATAAACGAGCTTCACTTCTGTATAATGAAAAAAATTAATATTGCTATTAACAAAACTACGAGTGCCATAATTAGAAGGAAATATTGTTTTATTTTCCTTAGATCTTCCTCAAATGTGAAGGTGTGGGTATTTTGGTTGTCGGCAACGGGAAACATACTGATCAGGGAAGAAGGGGTGAAAATATTTGGGTGATTTTTGGATAAAAAGTAGGAAGGGTAAGGAATTTGTGGTGAAATTGGGGGAAAATCCGCCTTTTATAGAGGTAGAGTTATCCGTAATTATTTTATAGAACTGTAAAAAATATCATATAACAGTCTAATATACTAGCAAAAATTATGGTCAAATATAAATATTTATAATTATAAAAGGTTATCACCAGGAAAATACAAACTATAGTGGTCCGAGAGTCCTTATATCCTTAAAAGATCATGGGTTCCAAAACAGAAAGAAATAGAGATTGAAGTATTGTGTAGTGGAATTATATTTTGGAATTATATTTTTCACTGCTTCTGTTCACAATTGTGAACTTGCCCTTTCATAGACAATTTTTTACAATATTAAAACTAGCTTTATTGCACATAATGTTATACTAGGATATACACCCTCCGTTTTGTATTAATCGCAATAGTAGACCTTGCGCAAAGTTTTAGGAAATTTATAGAGTAGGGATCATAGGGTGAATTTTATAATATAAAGTATAGTTAGTGGGAATATATATTATTGTTAGTAGGAGATGGAAAAAAAAAGTAGTATAAGTGGGGTTTGTAGAAAGAAAAATAATTAAATATTTATGCAAGTGGGGTAAGTGGGAGAGAGAAATTATCAAATATTAATAGGTTCTTACTAAAATAGGAAGTATTGCAACTATTATGAAACAAATGTAAAAGAAAAGCGTTACGATTATTACGAAATGAAAGGAGTATAGCATTAACCGGTTAAAGATTACATTCAATCAATTTTGAATTTTTCACAAAAAGGAAATTAATGTAAAATGGAGGGAATAATATTTTTTAAAAAAAAAACTACGGACTATTCCGTTTATTAAACTAAAAATTAAAATAAAATAAAATTTAAAAAAAAAACCGTGTAGAAGGAAGCTACTATAAAACCCAACGAAATGCACCGCGTTGACACTCTTGTGACTTTGTGAGCTGCTGAAACTTTCTCTGACTCCATCACTTCAGCAACTCTCTCTCTCTCTTCTTCTGCAAGTTTATCGTCTTCTTCTTAAATTCTGCAATTTAAGGTTGGTTTTAATTTTAATTTATTTTCCCTTCAATTTCCCCTAATTTCTTTGTTCTCATATTTGCTTTTCCTAATATTCTAACAATTAGCTGACTCTACTATAAATTTAATTTCATTTGTGAAACAAATTGTTTTCGTAATTTTTGTTTTGAATTATTAGGGTTTTATCTGATTATTTGTTTAGGTTTTATGGTTTTGCTTAGTTTGATTTTGAATTAGGGTTTTTTTTTTTTTTTTTTTTTTATTTTTTATATATATACATTTGCATGTTGCTAGAAGTTAAAAGAGTGTGAATTTTGTGCATTTTCTAAAATTTGAGCTGTATGAGTAGTTTTGGATCATTGTATGTGTGTATCAGTTCTCAATTTCAATTTCGCAATGAAATTTTGAGTTAAGTAGTTAGTTTATTTTATCGAAGCGCGTTTCGAGTGGTTGCCATACATGCCAATGAGGTTGAGGTATGCATTGTTCTTTATTTAGGAAACTATTGATTAAGATTCGGAATCAATATTTCTCGATGTTTCTTTTATCCTATTATAGATATGAGTCTTTAGAACTGTGAGCATCTGAAACTTAAGTGTGCTCCAATAATCCAATATCTCACTTAGATTTGAACTTTGAGAATATACTAGTACATACTTTTGGAACCTTAATTTTTTACTGTTAAGTTAAAGAAATTGTGTTATGTAATTGGGAGTTGGGAAACTTGCCTTTTGAAAATTCTGCAAAATAAAATGGTAGTTCGGGTTAATTTTGTCATGGATTCCTATGCTACTCGGACTCAAGAACCCATATTGGACAAGGGTATGTGTCCAAGCTTTAGGATCGGCTATTATATATATATATATATATATATATATATATATATATATATATATATATATATATATATATATATATATATATATATATATATATATATATATAAAGCTTCTAGTTTTGGTGCAAATGAAGAATCGAAGCGTCTGTACTCTGTACCCCTGTAGGAGTGTTAAGGTTCTGACCGGGCACTTGAGATAAGATGAAGAGTTCAGGTAACATGGATGGATATCAGGTGGATATTGCTGGGTAGCTTCTCAAAATGTTATTGGCTTGATGATGAACCACTGTGTGCGGTTGCTTTTTATGGCGTGTAAGCAATAATTTTGTCTTAGACTTAGTGGAAGTGTCCATCATGCCTTTGTTGCAAGTAGAAGATTCTTTACTAGGAAAATTAGATAGGATTTTCTGGTAGATTTGCTTTTGAAGAGATATAGAATAAGAGACGTTTGGGATTTCTGTTCTAAAGCATGGTAGATTATTTAGATTACAGATGAAATTTAATAATTTATGGTCACCTTTATGATGATGTTGAAAGATCTTCCTTATTTCTAAAATTTTCGTGCCTGGAAGTATATACTTTTTCCTCTATAGCTTCAGTTCTTCCTTTAGTCTCCATTAATTGGTAACTTTGTACTCGCCAGCTTGTCAAGATTCAAGAAACTACAAATATTATCAACTGTTCCTGCATTGAGATTTAGGTGTAAACAGCTTCAAGCTATGTCTAAGCTACTGGCTCATTTACTTGATAGAAAGTCGCTGGAAGGGTGTAATTGGTTTAAACACTTGCTAAGAAACATCTGAGAATCTTCCTATCCCAAAATTTTTGATTTGTTCTTATATGATGGATGCATTTTAATAATAGTTCCAATGTGGTCATTGTAGTTGTCCTACTGTCCTATATCGTTTGATTACTTCCTGGATAATATCTTCAGTTATGAGTCTCGTTCTCTTTTCTTAGGACACTTTTTCCCTTTGTTTTGTAATTTATAAGTCTGATATCAATATGCTCTGCTTGATGTAATTTGTTTAACTAGGTATTTCGGTTGACAAAACATTTATCGATCGTACAAAACCCTTACATTCAATGAGCATTATTTAGACCCATTGGACTTAAGAGCCTGGTATTGAACTGATCCAAAATTTATTAACCTAGATCTGAGCTTACTAGACCTAAATTTTTTGTATTTTTAAGGTATTAAGAACAATGCCTTTTGTCTGTGATCCCCATGATAATCTACTTTAACAAAGAGAACAAGGCTTGAATGGTAATTATAGTGTAGAGTTTCAGAAGTTTTACAGTAAATGATTAGGGATGATTATGACGATTAAATATGTATATTTAGCATGATTTTGTCTACATAATCTTAATATTTTAAAATTTCATACCATTGCAAAGAACCGTATTTCAAATCAGATATATTTCAAAGCTAGTTTAGTAATATTTCAAAGTTGTTGCCTTCTGATAACATTTTTTTTTATTTTTTTTTATTTTTTTTTTTTGAGTAGATTGCCTTCCTAACGGCTGAAGTTTTGCTTTGCAGTGTGAACCTCAATGTTTGAACTATTTGGTAGTCAAAAGGGGACTGCTTACTTCTTTGTAGATAAAACTGCAAGATATGCCGAGTTGCTTGACCTTGAAATCATTGACCTCATCTTCTGGAACCACAGTAACTAGCCCTACGCATCATCCAGGTGAAGGTAGATAACTTTAAAACAATTTTATTTTATTTTTCTTAAATGAGATTTTCATAGTAGTTTCTGTGTTGGTGATGTAGGGATGTCATTATACATCTTTTCTTTTGAACTTAATGGAGTTCTTCTCTACCCTTTCCTTTTGGGCTTGTCTAAAGGCTTCAAACATATTGGTGTCTATAACAGGGAATTCGTCACAGGGAACACCTACTACATCTGGAACAAGTGCTGTACCTTCACCTACTGTCAATCTCTCACAAGAGTATGCACTTGCAGTTCAGACGAGTTCCTACAACGAGATATGGTCCAGGATTCATGTAGTTGAGCACTATCAGAACAACGAGGCTGACCAGCAACCACAGCTTTTGTTGTCTCAAGTCCTTCAGCCTGATCGTGAGGCTGTCAATGAGGTGCTGCAGCATGCCCCAGCCACCACTTTTACTCAACTCGTCACTGCTTACTTTGAACACAGTGAGGAAACATGCCAGCTTCTCCTCCTCCTCCACCGTAATATTCATCATGCCCGCTCCTTGTATGCCCATGTACATGACTTTGTTGACATCCTACCTACTGACACAGAATCTATGACTGAATTACAATGCAATCACGCCTTCGATGTTCTTCTTCAGTTTGAACAGAAAGGGAACCCTTTCCCATGCCCTGATTCCAACAACTTTCAAGACATGCGACTTTGCTTTTTCCAGCTCAAGCAACAGGTTGACCAGCGCCTTGAGAAGTCCCGTGGCAGGGTTCGTCGAGTACGCTGTGGCACCACCACATCAGCAGTATGTTTAATTGGGGCAGCTGTTGGAGTTACTATAGCAGCCATTGCCATTGGTGCTCATGCATTGGTCGCCCTGGTAGGCTTTTCCAGCTGCCCAATAATGTTCCCCTCGAAAATTACAAAGAGGGAAGAAGCAAATACGACACAGCTTGATGCTGCAGCCATGAGTGCTTTTGTGCTGCATCATTCTTTGGACACCATTGATCGCCTTGTCTCACTCCTACATACTGAAATCGAGGGGGATAGGCTTTTGATTCGCCGCGGGTTGGACTGGGGTAGGGATAAGTACCTTACATATGAAGTGGTGAAGCAGCTAAGGAAGAACCGTGTAAGTTTATTCGACCAGTTTACTGATCTTGAGGAGAAAATTTGCCTCTGCTTTTCTGCAATTAACAAAACCAGATCGCTCCTCCTCAAAGGGGTACCTCTTTATCAGATATAGTCTTGACTCTAGCGTTCATGTAGTTTAATTTTATTTATTTATTTTTTTTTTTTACAAAAATGCCCACTTTTTGGGATCTATAAAAAATGTCATTATTTTGTAAGTTTTCAATATTACATGTTCTTAATAACAGTCTTAACAGATTAAGTGTACGATAATATGTAGTATAATTACAACATACTTGGTACATTTTTTTAGTCAAAATTGTCAAAAAGTATTTTGTTCATTGTGGAGTTTGTGAATTAGTACCTTATTTATTTATTTATTTTTGTTTAACTAGCACCTTGATTTCAAGGAAGTATTAAAAACACCTCCTTAGCTCAACTTACTGTCTTTACTGACGAGAAAGTCAATTTTTAGAGCATTGACACCATTTTCCACCAATTTTTAGAGCGAGATGTACACTCAAACACAAAATCTCACACGCCTTCACCAATGCTCAAGAATCCCTTCACCCTTTTTCTTTTTCACCCTTCTAGTAGTTTTGCAATTCATTGATCTAAACGAGTCATAATTTATTAACACAACGAGAAGCATAGATTACTTGGGCAAAGCCCTAAATACATTACAACCTAAGGTTCAAAGGTTTGCTTAATTGATTATGAATAATCACGTAGTATGTGTTTCCATAAGTCCCTTTTCTTAATACAAGGCAAAATTGGTCTTAACACCATTTATGCCTTGGGTGTGTAATGAGTAGCACCACCTATAACTCTATAAGTGGTAGCCAAAACAACACCAACTTTTACAGTGGGTGTAGCGTGTGTCATAAATTTTTATTTCTAATTGTCAGAACTGCAACAAGTATGCATATTTTAGTGTTGGGGAAGGCATTGAAACGAAGTGTTGCAATTTTAGTGAAACTAATGAAGTATATGAATAGTGTATAAAATCAAAATTAATTCACCTATTTAAAAAGTGCATTGCTAAACACCCCCAACATTTGGTGTGAATGGACAACCATGTCCTTACTACTTCACCACCCCTTATCCTCCCCGGCGACCCACCACCCCTTCCGACCGCCGACCCACCACATCCCCCTCAATGACGACCCACCACCTTCCCTCGTCGGCGAATAAAAAAACTATCACCTTCCCATCAGCGAGGGAAGGTGGTGGGTCATCATTGAGGAGGATGTGGTGGTCGGCGAACAGGATGGTGGTGGTGGTCGTCGCTAGTCAGTGTGGTGGTGGTGATCGTCACCGATCAGGGTGGTGGTGTTAAGGTGTTAGTAATTGGTGGCAAGAGGGAAGATAGTGGTGAAGTACTAAGGGTATGGTTGTCCATTCACACTAAATATTGGCGGTTTTGATCACTTTTTATGGTAGTATTTAACACCCCCTTTAAACATGAAAAAAGTAACTAGAGTGAACTACATGGAGTTGTAAAAAACTAAATTACTCCCTCCATCAATAACATAATACTAAAATAGACACCAGGAATGACACGTGTCACTTCCTGGTCCTATTTGTTCTCTTCAAAACTCCCCCTGTTTTTTTAGCAAAAATCTTATATTTTTGGAATATTTGTATAATCAATATTAATAATATATAATACTAAAACAGATACCTGAAATGACATTTGTCACTTCATGATGCTGATTTTCCCCTCCAAAACCTCTCTTCCCTTTTTAGCAAAAATCTTCTATTTTTGGAATATTTGCATAATCAATAACATAATACTAAAACAGGCACGTAGAATGACACGTGTCATTTCCCGGTGCTGTTTTTTCCCTCCAAAACTCTCCCCTCCCTTTTTAGCAAAAATCTTCTAATTTTGGAATAATTTTATAATATAACTATAATAATATTATTACTAATCTTGTTTATTATCTTTATACTAATTGTATTCGTTTTTATTTCCAGCAACTTTTGTGTTCGTCTGGCCACACCGTGTGGCCAACTGACACACACCAAGTAACCCCTAATCAACGAGTAACCTTAAGTAACCCCTGATCGACCGAATAACCTAACCAAGTAACCCCTGGCCGATCTTATGATAAATAAATCAGGGATATATGATGAATTTACGTAACAACTTAGGGATTTATGATAAATTTGAAAATATTTATGGGTATATGATGAAAAAACCGATCTTAAAATAACGGGAGTAACCTAAATTAAAATTAATTACAGAGTAATATTATTAAGGACTGAAGGTATTAGAGGCTGCGAAATCCTATTCACAAGAAATTGTTAGCCTATACCTTTGTGGGACATGTAACAACCTTATCCAATCAAATAAAAGCAACCACAATATGAAATCTGTGACGTAACTGATCCTTTTGTCCATAAACCCATCAACCTTGTTCAGACAACTTCATCCCACCATAACCTTGTTCAAAACTAATGGCGTCAGTAGCTCCATTCAAATCCCAGTTTCTGGTTAATCCATTGAAACAACCCCAGCTCGCAGCAGCACCTACTAACTTATCTCTGCTTCCGCCATCAGGTCGCCGCCTTCGCCATAGAAATCGTGGAGCAGGGGCTAAACATGGTGCCTTCAGAGTCAAAGCTGCTAAGCTCCCTGCTGGTGTATGTTATTTCTGTCTTCAGAATTTTTAGTCACTTATTTTCACCTATCTTTTATGGAATTTTCTTTTATTTAAATAATTTTTAGCCTATTTAAGTAGCTGCTTTATACTAGATGTACACTAACTTAGTTGGCTTTCTCAAAAAAAAAAAAAAAAAAAAAAAAAAAAAAAAAAAACTAAACTAGTTGGTTAAAGTTTGGGGGTGGTATCCTAGATTTGAGATCAAATCCCGTTTAACAGGTGAGATTTGATGTAATGGGTATGATTATTTAAAGTATGCTTAACCATGAAATAGTTAGTTGATTAGAAATACTAGTAATTGAGTAGTTCCCTTCATTTGAATCATTTTAGCAAGTTATGAAATCATATTATTGCGTCGTGCCTAAAATGAGAGGGGAGAATTAGGGGCTGAAAAAGGAGGATTGTAGAAAGATGAAACTCATGAAAGTAGTGGTGGTTATTAAGTCGGAAGAGGAACCTTTTGGAACCCATTTTGGAGTATACTTCCTTCGTTCTAGTAATATTGCAATACCTTGACTTTTTTACTATTCATCACGCTTGTTTGACTACATATTATGATTTATAAGTATAGTAAAACATTATGGGGATCTTGTTAGATTCGTCTCGTAAAATACTTTTTATAATTTTATTTTTATATAATTATAGATATTTAACATATAAAATGTGCTTCGAGATGCGTAAATTTATCCTTGTTGCAATATTTGTAAAACATAGAAAGTATACAACAGGTTTAGTCATCCACTCATCCTTGAATTACATAAATCTTAATTGCGCAAAAGGGTATCTTGTATGTGATTTAGGTGAGTAAACTTGTTAAATATTACTGTATTACAATACACTGATTGTATACAAAAATTATTGTTGGGACTCTTGGGAGTACCTTAGGAAGATCTAAGAAATCTATTTCTCCAAATTGGAAATTGGGAATTAGGAATTGCCAACTATTTCACATAGTGATAACTCATCTTTGTTGGTTCTTTCCACAATTTGACGTTGCCTTAAGAATACTCCCCTACTTCCTACTTGTGTGTTTGACATGTTCGGCACCATTTTTTTTCTACTATATATATATATAACGACAATTAATGTAAACTAAATCTTCCTATTATTAAGACTCATAGGCTTATGTTATTTTATTAATTTGCTGATCAAAGTGTGTTGATTTAATAGTCTTATAAATGCAAGGTAAATCATGTTGTATTGTTCTTGTATCTTTTCTATTTTCGCTTTGTGATACTTGAAACATGGTGATGGATTGACTTCTTTGATATATGCTTTATGGAAATACCTAGAGGAAGAACTTGGTGGTAGCCCTTAAATCTAAATAAGTTGAAGGTTGGTGGTTACAGAAAGGGTGAAAAGCATTCGCGTTGTTCTATCATGGTATTTCATTGATGCGTTAACCTGTCATTTCTCTGCCTAATTATGTCTTAAAAGAAATTGGACCTTAATGGACCATTGCAGCTCATATCAATCATGTATAGGATTTTTTTTTTCTCATCTTGTCTCTTCTGGCCTTTTCTCTCTCGATTTGGATGGGTAATGAGTATCATTTGATTTGATCAGGTGGTGCTGCCGAAAGTAGAACCTAAGTTCAAGCCCCCATTTCTCGGGTTCACCAAGATTGCTGAAATTTGGAACTCGAGAGCATGCATGATTGGCCTCATTGGAACGTTCATTGTTGAACTTGTATGATAAGTTTTCCACATCTTTCCTGCTCAAACATAGCTGATTGTTTCTTTGAGTTTCTGATTTATGCTATATATTGGGATTTGATCATTTACAATGATGTTTCTGTCAGATATTGAACAAAGGGATACTACAACTTATAGGCATTGAGATCGGAAAAGGGCTTGATATTCCACTCTGAAGACAGAATTTCATGTATCATTCAGTTGCTGTACCTGTAACACTGTATATTTTCATTTACCAAATCTTGCATGCTTTTTAATCGCTTCAGAAGTCTCTTCATGTAGCGTCTGCTAGAGATCACACTGGATATAAATGCTCTAAAGTCGAGCAACAAGCATATTGTGATGTACCCAAGCCAGTATGCCAAGTTGTAATCAATCGATCTCCAGAATCAGGCATATTATTGCCCAATCTGATAGCATCATATCTTCGGCATAGCTATCTGATAGAGGTAATTTTGGAATAAAAACAATCGATAATGAGCAACATGGCCGAACTCCGAGAGTGAAAAATAGCTACTTCCTACACCACCTTAACTTAGATGCCTCCATTACTTTCAGAAGAAGAGCAACTTCACAATTCACACTACTATACTTTCTGCTGGTCCAGCATAGAGCAAGGCAATTCGCAATTCTCAGATCATTTCATAACTTCAGTTGATCCAAATAAATAGAGCTCCATATTTGATTAATGCTTGGACCAGAGTTATGTCCAAACAATAAACAGAAATATTTAATATTTCAAAATGTTCATTCAAAAAACGTTACAAAGGAAGTTCAATTCAGAAATATATATACCACAGCACTTGAAAATGTACAGGAAATCATTCTTTATGATAGACATCAGTTTCATAGAATTATTTCGGACTAGACATGGCTTAAAACAGATCAGCAAGAAAGTTTCCCATTACCCACTAAATCAAAAATTGCCATGTACTTAACTACTTGTGCAGAGAGGCCATAAAATAAACACAAGTTCTCATTTACCCCATATGACAGTAGAAATGTAGAATGGTACAAATCAGGCAGCAAAGACAAAATTAGTTGCATGATTTATTTTGTACAGCATCTAGAGATGCACAGATCCTGTGATACAGAAGGAAGTTTCAGCATCTAAAGTGCTCTGCATATCCGAGTATCAAGTACCAGGACTTTGGAAGAAGACTTGGATATGTCAAGTGCTTCAGCAAGTGATAGCCGACGATTTCTCCACCAAGCCTCTGCCCATTTCTGCATTCTTTCTCCTTCATCATTTCTGTTTTGCTGGACGCAAAGTACTTCACCATACCCCCCTGCATAAGAAGTGAAGATTATTAAAAGCGAACATGGACAAAGGAAATGCAAGAAACAGGTGAATAACTAGAACATAAGGGATGTTAATGAAGTCCACCACAGTACAAGAGAAACAGGGCTTCACCCAAAGAGGCAACAGATTTCAATGTTCATTCAAAATGTGCAAAACCATGAGACTGAAAACATTTCAGATAATAAGATACTGAGGAAAATCCAAGAGAGATGATGATTCCCATAAATTATACTGGACCAAGCATACCTCTGGCAAGGGCAACTACATCCCTTTTATCCACGTTTTCTCGAACATGCTCCACATTTGCTTTTGCATCTAGCACAAAAAAGAAGAAATCAATATTGGGACATCCACTTTACTAACTATTACTTAAAAAAGAGAAATGTTTAAGCTCAATGGTATCATACCATCTGTCTCTAATGGAGGAGCTTTTAGCATATCTATAGCCTTCCTGTAGAGTCCCTGTGGAGCAGAAAAAGTAGAACAGACAACTGAGCAAAGCAGATCACATTCCATGAGGAAGAATGAAAATAGTAGTAATCCAAATGATAATCGACAAACTTATTCAATTGGTCAAAGGTCAAACAACATACTCTGACAAAATTAAGTTTTCGCATGAACCAATGTATAGCAACCATAGAGATGGCCCACAAGTCGTTTGGATTGGGTTTAGTACAGGCCATATTCAGGCAACAACTCCATTCTATTAGTTTAAGGCCCGTTCAAGTTTATTTAGTTCTGGCCATATTCAGATCTTTTGCCATTTTAGTATAAGATAAGTTAGTCAACATTCTTATACTCTTATTAGTCACACAATTTTTGAGTCTGGTTAATACAAGGCTATGTAAATTCAGGTACTCAGTTTGGTCGGGTGATTTGGATTAAGTTATTGGTACAGATCAGTTTTGCAGGCCTTGCCTTTATCACTATAATAAATCATATCAATTAAATAGTATGGGTATGTGATTTTACAATGTAATATTCCATAAGAATACATCATATTATACCAGTGTCCAAAAAACTATCTTTCGATTGACAAAAGTAGTTTCTCTTCATTCAGTTTCATTACTACCCATAGAACTTCAAGAACCAAGGACAATATGGTAATAGGATCCATCTCCTAACAACATGCTACTTATACTGATGTCATACATTAGATATTTCATTGTTTTCTAAATATCTTTAGTCCATATAGTCATATGCTCAAAGTGGTACCAATACAGAAGCAACAATAAATAAAAAGAAAAGCCAAAAAGCGACATTATGAATGGTTATTTTTACGTCATTGATGCAACGATCTCACCTCTTGTATCAAGAGAGAACTTGAGCGTTCGGCAATTGCTTTCTGTCGATACAGGAGTGCTATGCAAGTTAATACAGCTCCCACTTTAGGATGGTGTGTGCCTGCAATAGATCAAAGGGAATATTTATTAATTTTACAAGTAGCTAAAATTAACCTGCTTTTTTCTGGAGAATTAAAAAATTCTACCGAAATATTCTTCTGCTTTCTTCAATGCCCTCGTCAAAATCAATTCTGCATCCCCAAAATTCCTGATAAAGCACAGTTACAAAAATGATCACTTCATTTGAACAAGTTGAAAAGAAAAAGCCACAACCACAAGAATTTCATTTACAATCTCCTATTACCCCAAATGAGACTCAAGCTGCCCCAAAGCGCATGTGGCTGCCAACAGAACTTCTTCTGGTGACATATTGCATGCCCCCAAGTCATATGGATAATTGAAATCCTTCTTCTCAGATGATTCAGCAATTGCCTTCTGATACAACTCCTTTGCAGCATTGAAGTCCCGCTTAGCATGCAAGAATTCACCATATGACAGAGATGCATTGCCTACCAAGCATGACAAGCTCATTAAGGCATGTAAAAGTCGACATTCATAATAAGCTCAAAAGAATGAAATCTCACCAATGCAGCCCTCATCTAGACAACCTTCAAAGAATCCCTTCGCTACAACCAAAAACCTAGTCATTATAGAAAGACCAGTAAAAAATATTTTACAAACCAACAGGTCAAAAATTATCTCTTTACCTGATTCCATATTTCCATGAACTATCTCAACCAAGCCTTTAATGGCTTTAGAACGTGCACTAAAAACTTTATAGCCACGCTCATCACCAGTCTCCAAGCTTTCATGCTCCAATAGTTTCAAACATTTATCTGCGAGCACTGATGAGGTATCATCCTATACAAGGAAGAACAACCCAAATGAATTTGCGCCGTTCATATTGATAGTCATCCACTGAAGAAGAACAGAGAGACACATTGGGCAGTACATAAAGTTTATTGACTATTTGACGTATTTATGCATAAGAATACACTTTAGGTATACCAAAGCCACCATAAGCATAGTCTAAGAATCCATAATAGACTACAAAGTTACTTTTATAAAAGGGTTCAAACAAATGATATTTATAAATGTGCAAATATTTATGTCTAGAGGATCTTACCAAACCGATTTCTAAATTGAGCCCAACAAGTGCTTCCATTGCAGCAACTACAGCAGCAAAGAAATTGTAAAACAGAACTGGGAAAGAAACTTATGCATCCATGTAGTAACACATTTGTATTGTTCAATCTTACCTCTTACACCAACATAAGAACTACTTAAATCCTGGATCATCAGCAAGGCTTGCATAGCTTCATCAATATTCCCCCTAAACCAAATGAAATGAACCAATTTATTACCTTCAACCATCATCTGAGCAGCTAATATAAGAAAGATCACAATTTTATAGTGTTGTCTGGCAAACCTTTCAGACAATAGACTAGAAATAGCAAGTAAAATCACCCCCTTGGTATTCTCTATAGTAGCATCTGGTCCTCCTTGTGATTGAGAAGATAGACCCTGCTCCAGTACCAGCAAAGCTTCCCCGTATGATTCATCTGCCAAATGCCAATAACATAAAACATTTTACACTTGAAAACTGGAGAAGCAATCAACATAAACTAAATGGGCAGAGACTCTGGAAGAATAACATGTTGCATTTTCGCCCAAAATAAAGTGAACAATATTTTAAGTTTTAATAGAATCAGCAAAAATTAAATTCCAGAAAGTAACTCAGCGATAATTGTATTCCTAAAGGCACCATAAAATCGCCCTTATCTTTGAGGAAGATAGCAAAAACTTCAAATTTCACAATATGTTCATTGTAGACCTAATAAATTCTGGAAAGTAATAATTCCCAATAAATTAGATAGTGCGCACAATTTGAACATAATAAGGAGAAACACCAACGCAAAAAAATAAATCCTGAAAAAAAAAAAAATTAAACCTATTTCCCAATTGGAGAGAGGGAATAGAGAGACCAGTTTTCTGAGAGCGAGCAAGGCCAAGAGCATAATCAATCATTTGCAGGGCAACCGGGTTGATATTTGGGACATGATTGGCGCAATAATATCGGGAAGGTGAATATGACAACGGCTGAAGAAGACGCCGACAGTAGAGGCCATTTACAGCGGGAGTTCTAGTGGAGGAAGATATGCCGGTGCAGCTAATCCCAATGGCATTTCTTAGGAGTTTGTGCAGAGCTGCTACACGATAATGAGACATTCTTCTTTTACCACTGACGGTTCCTGATTCAAGAACTACAGGAATAGAGTAGTGAACATAAGATCAAATTGAACACTTACATAGCATAAGATCTAACACCACAAGTCAGTTCACGGTATATATTATAATTCCCTATGGACAACATACTTGAGAAACAAGATGAAAATCAATATTAAAAATTAACTCAAAATAGTTCCTAACTTCCATGCAATCATAAAATGAATCCTACCAAAGACTGACTGATCGATTAATAAGTGGCTCCACAATTTCTTAAGAAAGAAAGCGTAAAAGGGAAAACGAAAAACCGAACGACTAGTTTGCTTTCTTCAAGAGAGCCCCCTCAAGTAACTTCAATGAGAAGTCATGTATCAACCAAAACAACGGTAGGATAACCCCGTCTTAACAAGGGCAAAGATTTTAAAGAAGCAAACCTAAGAAAAATTAGGAAACATCAATCAGTTCAAATTAATATGCTATAGCATGGAACACAATCTACTATAGTCTACAAGATATCATCCAAATAAAAAAATTAATAAAAAAAAAAATAAAAAAAAAAATAAATAAATAAAATATGTCATGATGATATAAGCATACATGAGAACGTAAAACAGAAAAACTTTTTTGAGCTGTTAAATGATTTATGATTCTTAAACTGGCTCAAAATTCCTTGGTTAAATCGTTTGGGTGATGCAAGAATTTGGATTTTGATTTGGATCAAATTCAAGACCTTCTAAAGCAAAACCAAGATACCAGAGTTTCATAAAGCATCCTAAACTAAACATAACAGATTATAGCACAGCAAAAATCAGTTAACTTCATCAATATATGTTTTATTCAGTAAAAAATAATGTACATTTGGTAAAAATACGATTAATTCAGTCAGATTTAGAATCAGCAAAAAAGTCAAATTGGACAAAATAAGTTGAAGAGAACAAAGCCTTGTGGAAATTTCAAATTACAATTCAACTTTCAGACAACTCCCTTTACTCTTATAACCTTAGATCGCCAATTGGGCTCACTTCTATAGCTGCCAGCTCAAGCTCAAAGAAATCAAAATTTTCTCCTAGTACTTGTCATCTCCCGCCTATTAATGTGACAAGCCTGATGACTAATTTTTAGACATAATTACAAGCTTTAGTTAGAGAATGCAATTGATAATAAAAATTGGAAGCTTCAATTCCAAGTTTATCTTGTTCCCTATCTCTAAATTATAGAAATCTTCTGTTCGCTTAATTAAACTAAAGTCTTCACTATTTCTCCTTGTTAATAATAACTTGTAAATTGAAGTTTAGTAGTTCTCTTATTGTAATACAAATGTTATGGTGAGAATTTTTCTTTCTTGATAATAGCAACTCATGATTCAAGTTTAATAGTTTCTCTATATGTACTTCATATGTAAAGGTGAGAATTTGTCTTAAAATTTGAATGCTTCAATTTTCTTAGAACATAATTATAGTCGATACGAATCAACATTTGTACCAATTGTAAATCTGTAACTTGTATAGATTACATAACTACAACATTAATAACAAAATAAGAGCCTTCTAATGTTAGCAATACGACTACGATGTCAAAATTCAAGAAATTGGAATGCCATTGACTTCCAAAACACAAGAAATGAACATTAGAATTCATCATATACCATTCAATAGCAAATTTCCAGCATTTAAATTCCATATTAATTTCCTAAATGCAACATATCTAAATTCAGTAGCTAGCAACCCAGTAATCATATTAAATCATGAATAATGTCAAAATGATAATCAACAAATTATTATTAAAAAAAAGGTGGCAAAAATGACAGATTATAGAAAATACAGTAACAAAAAACAGAAACTAAAAATTACACCAATAATTAATTAGAAGAAACAATTAGAGGTTAAGCAATGGACAATTGATGAATAAAACGACTTGGGGTTCAGTTACCTGAAAAGTAGGGAATGAATATTTGAAATTTTTTACCAAATGAACAAAAATATATATGAATTTGAGTATGAGAATTTTTTTGCACTTGAAGTAGAAATTGAAGTGGGGGTTAGGGCATAAATTGACGACGGCACTGTCGCCGGCAAAATTTTGGCGGCGAGGGGTTTTTGAGAGAAGGGGTTTAGTGAGCGAGAGACTTCCCAGGGAGGTTGAAAAGGCACGAATTTAATGAATTTGATTCTTATTCTTATTCTTATTCCTAAGGTTTTTTAATTTTTTTTTTTAATATTCAAATGAGGAACAAGGTTAAGAAAGAGCAAAACAAACAAATAGAAAACTAATAAAGAATTAACTACAGAGGAACGAAACGTGGAAAAGCCACCCCAAACATCCTCCTCCAAAGTACTACGAAGTTCATCCGGAATAAAATTCATAAGACTAATATGAGAGTCTTGGATGACTCCATGGTTAGCCAACCAATCTGCTGCTCTATTCCCTTCTCTATGTATGTGACTATGTGAGCTACTGTCACTTCCCAGCGATCATCATCCATCTTGCGCAAGCAATTGTTGATATCATGAGCATTCTCACCGCTTCCAGCTTCTCCTCTTTGAAAAATCTACATACATGCTAAATTATCCAAATGAACCATTAGCTTTTTGATTTGTAAGCTTTGAGCCAACTCTACACCTCGAGTTAAAGCCATAATCTCAGCCCGATAAGCCACACAATGACCAAAATTTGGTAGAGAAACCCGAAATAAATTTCCTTCAGAATCTCGAATAATGACCCCTCCACCTGCTGGCCCGGGCATCCCTTAGCTGCCCCACCACAGTTAAGGACAAATCAGCCTATAAGGGGAGCAATCCAAGCTATATTAGCTCATGCGCACCTTGAGAAACTTCCCAGGAGGTCACCCATCCTAAGATTGCTCCCGGCCAAGAACGCTTAACCACGGAGTTTCATAGAAAATGAGCTTCCTAAAAGAAAAATGCATCTTGTTGATATGAGTAGTATATTAAGTTCTTTTAAAACAATCATGAGGGGTATTACAAGAGAGGACCATCACTACTAGCTCTGATCGACTTCCAATTATCAGTTATAATTGCCTCTTCTATGATCTGGTAAAATCTTCCCATACATTTTACAAACAAATAGGGAGATAAAGGATCGCCTTGACAAACACCTCTACTTGGCTTGAAGCTTTGGAAGGTTCACCATTCCGCAACACGTGCATCGAAGTGGTAGTGACAAATTATATTCCATAATCACATCAGACAATAAAAGGGGCATGTTCATTTGAATGAGTGTGTCCCGAACGAAAACCATCGTAATCTATCATAATCCTTCTCAAAGTCGATTTTGATTGCCATATAATCTTTAGCTCCTTGTTTCCTCCGCATAATATGTAGAACATCTTGTATAATTACAATATTGTCAGTAATTTGCCTTCCCGAAACAAAAATTGACTAAGTATTAGAGATTAGGCCAAGCATAACTGACTTTAGTCAATTAATGAGAACCTTCGTAATGATCTTGTAAGCCATGTTACAAAGACCAATGGGACGAAATTGTGAAGCTAGCTCCGGATTTTCAAGCTTCGGCATAATCTTACTGGCTTGTAGTTAGTGTTAAAAATTATAAAATTTTAGATAATGTTTATGTAAACTGATATGAAGTCATATGTGAATTTAATTTGTTATAAAATTGTTAACCTAACAAATTTCTTAATAGTTTTGGTTTATTGCCAAGTTCGATGACCGTACCGTAAGCACCGCGATCACAAAATGTATTCAAAGGTATTTTTGATACCCATGTATAACTACGGGACAGTTGGCCACTAAGACACGTTGGTGGAACTTGTTTAGCATAAGACAATTTATTCACTAGATTGATAATAAAAATAGAAAACAAACTTATTTAATTGAAAAGTGTATGAATGTTATCACCTTAGCATATCACTAATTGGAATGCTTGTTACAATTGCAGAAAAAAAAAATATATGAATAGGACCATGGGTTAGAGGACCAAGTAAAGAGGGCGTATCACAAGAAAGTCGGTTACTTGACTTAGGGACTTGTTCAACTAGGTGACCAAGAGGTTGATTGGCAAGAAGCCATTTTACATGAATGAGGATACTCACAAGAAGATTGTTATCCAAAGGAAAATGAAGAATTTAAGAAGTGGTTTAAACAAAATAAGAGAATAGGAGATGTGGTTCCTTATCTAATGTAGTTGAACTGTTTCACTTCCAAGGATCGATCTCTGCTTCCCAACATGCAAAGAAGATTGTAAAGTAGACGATTATATGAACTTCATTGTAATAGATTGTAAAGTAGACGGTTATATGAACTTCATTGTAATATCATTGAACAAAATCAAACAAAATCAAGACAATTTAGACACTTGTGCATGTGTGGTGCATGTTCAAAAGCGAAGGGCACCGGTGGGGTCCTACCAAACGCTCGAGAGCTCTATCTAAAGACGCACTTCAAGGAAGTTCCTGAGAAATGGAAGGTTGATGCTAGTAGAAAGGCTTAGGAGATTGCGATAATGTCAAAACTAAGTATATTGATGTCAGAATGTGCTGAAAATTTATTATTTAAATAAATTTGTTAGGTTCTATACAATTAAAACTAAGTATATATAGTTAGTTAGAGGTGTTAGTAACACAATTTGAATAAATATATAAAATATGGGAAAGGTAGAAGCAAGTTCATGCATATTTGCCCATTTTTTGGTCAAAGGATTGAAAAACTTCTGAAATTTGATTATTTAAACTAGTTTCAAGTTGTATACACTTAAAAATAAGAATATTTGGTTAGTTGGGGAATAACATGATTTGAATAAAAATATGTAATGAAATATGGGAAGGTAGAAGCAAGTATGGTCATATTTGGGCCATTTTGGGGTCAAATAATTGAAAAACTTTTGAAATTTGGTTATTTAATCTAGTTTCAAAGGTTGTATATACTAGTGGTAGGACTATTAGCTTGACAAAAAAGGTTTGTGTAATTATCAACGAGACAAATTATATGCACTATACCTAAAAGATTTATAGGTAATATGTCTTACGCTCTTAATATTAGTAGTAAAAAAAAATGTTAAATTGGATTTCTATTATTAAGTAGTATGAAGTTATTTAAAATAAATAAAAAATTGCAAGCTAAGTACCATAAATACCATATAACTCCCAACACTTAATTTGAACATAAACTAGTATTTGGGCCTGCGGGTCATTACATGGGATTGACATTAAGATATAACATTTTAATTTATGACTCAATTTTTGTAATTAAATTTGTTATTCATATTTTTCTCAAAAAAGTTTCTTTATTCATATTGTGATTCACTAGATATTAATATTTTGCATTAAAAAAATGACATAAAGTATGACATAGCTTGGTGGTATAAGATAGTTAGTTTTATAATTATAGGTTGCATGTTTGAATCTCGTGGGTAACAATTTTTTTTTTTTTTATTATAAACTAGATTAGTCTCGTGCGATGTTAGATTTGAATGAATAAAAATTTTCTAAATTTAATTATTTTTTCATATCAAAATTAAAAAAAATCCCAAAACAAATAATACATCAATTATAAAAAAAAATAAAATAATAAGCTTAGAGCTCATAGAAAAATTGAATGATAAAATGGTACTTGAGAAAAAAAAGTTTTTTACTTATTATTATTAGAGAAAATAGACTATTTTCGGAAATTGAAACTAATAATATGACCAAAATTTTAATAAAATAAAAAAAAATCATAAAATGATGACATCATTTATAGTTTGGGAGGGAAAGTTTTTAATGACAACATGATATGTGTTTAATTTTAGGATAGGGTGATGTCAGCGTTTGCTACTTTAGTATTAGTTACTAGATTAGCTCCCATATGATACACGGATATAATGAACACAAAGAACTTGTGAGAATTTCAATAATTTCGTAAATTCTCTAGGACATTATACAAACTCAAATATATTTAACCCACAAAAATAACAAATTAAACAATTTGGTCAAATATATTAAGCCCACAAAATTGAAAATCAGAGTAACATTTGCCTGAGTTAAAAAAAAAATAAATTAATTTCGGACTATTAAAAAAGTTAAAGTTGAAGGAATTGGAAACTTGTCAGTATGAGGAATTAATTCAAGTTAGGGAAAAAGATTAATCTTAATTACTCGATTTTAACCATTGAAAAGTGGGTTTTTTGGGTTTTTTTGTTTAATAAAAAAATAAAAATAAAAATCAATCTTTCCCCAAATAAAATCGTGTTGATTTGAGATCCAAATTCATCAATTACCTGGTAAAATCGCTTCAATTAGAACTCAAATTAATAACCTTTATATTATTGCTGGTTTAGGGAATAACAGACAAACTTTTTTGATCACCAAGTTTAAAGATTACAAGTCAATTCAAACACACCAGCCATAAAATTCCTCATCAAAATTCAAAACCTTTTAATCTAAGTAATTTAATATCACCTACTAAAAAAAGTAATTTAATATAAAAATAAAAAAAATGACATCATCAATGTATTTAGGCGGGAAAATTTTCATGAGAAAGAAACACGTGTACGCTTCGGAGAAAATGATGATGTCAGCAGTTGCTATTTTAGTATTAGTTATAGATAGATTGATGACATTTGACATGCAATGGAAAACATATGGAGGAGAGCGCCACGTAGCACATATACTTTGTTTGGAAAGCCTTTTAATAAATAGTATAGATATGATCCATTGTTACTTTTAAGATTCTTCCACACATTATCATTTTTCAAGAATATTAGTTGAATAAATAATTTAATTTAAATGCTAGATATCCTTTTGTACTAAAAAAAAAAGGAATATATACAATAGTCTAACAAAATCAAGCTATTAATCAATCCCACCTAAAATATTACAAATATGTTCTCAACTTATTTTAAAACTAGGGGGGCGCCATATTTAGAAATATTCGGGAAGCTCTTCGGTTTGGCCTTACATCACAACTTTAGTTGTTGGTAGCATTAATAAGGGAAAATATGTAAATAAATGTTTTTAGGGGTATGAATGTCTACACACTATTTTTATGATTTTATAAAAAGAGAGTTAATTAACATTAATGAGGGCAATTAAGTAAATAAATATTTTAGAGGGTATAATTGTCCAAGCACACATAAGAGTTATCTCATACTTTTTAAAAGGTGGGGATATAAAGTACTCAACTATATTTAATTT